TTTCATCACTTTCAACAATTTCAATTCACTCAAAACTTTTCGATCAATGGACAAAAGCATGATTCGTCCATGGGTGGGCTTGAACCACCAACCTTTCAGTTAACAGCCGAACGCACTAACCGATTGCGCCACAGAGACAACTATGAATTTAATAAATTTTTTGGTCTGCCTGGTTAGCTCAGTCGGTGGAGCATAAGTCTCTGGAGTTGCTCGAACTGAGAGGTCGGTGACAATAATTGAAAGGTTGCTTGTCAGCCTGGCTAGCTCAGTCGGTAGAGCATGAGACTCTTAATCTCAGGGTCGTGGGTTCGAGCCCCACGTTGGACGCCTAATGTTTTCATCACTTTCTTCAATTTCAATTCACTCAGAACTTTTTGATCAATGGACAAAAGCATACATCGTCCCTGGGTTGGTTGAACCACCAACCTTTCAGTTAACAGCCGAACGAGCTAACCGATTGCGCCACAGAGACAACTACGAATTTATTTAATTTTTTGGTCTGCCTGGTTAGCTCAGTCGGTGGAGCTTAAGACTCTGGTGTTGCTCGAACTAAGAGGTTGGTGACAATAATTGAAAGGTTGCATGTCAGCCTGGCTAGCTCAGTCGGTAGAGCATGAGACTCTTAATCTCAGGGTCGTGGGTTCGAGCCCCACATTGGGCGCATGTTGTTTTCATAACTTTCTACAATTTTAATTCACTCAAAACTTTTCGATCAATGGAGAAAAGCATAGATCGTCCCTGGGTGGGCTTGAACCACCAGCCTTTCAGTTAACAGCCGAACGCGCTAACCGATTGCGCCACAGAGACAACTATGAATTTATTAGATTTTTTGGTCTGCCTGGTTAGCTCAGTCGGTGGAGCATAAGTCTCTGGAGTTGCTCGACTTAGAGGTAGGTGACAATAAATAAAAGGTTGCATATCAGCCTGGCTAGCTCAGTCGGTAGAGCATGAGACTCTTGGGTTGTGGTATCGAGCCCCACAATTTCAATTCACTCAAAACTTTTCGATCAATGATCAAAAGCATAGATCGTCCCTGGGTGGGCTTGAACCACCAACCTTTCAGTTAACAGCCGAACGTGCTAACCGATTGCGCCACAGAGACAACTATGAAATTATTTAATTTTTTGGTCTGCCTGGATAGCTCAGTCGGTGGAGCATAAGTCTCTGGAGTTGCTCAAACTGAGAGGTAGGTGACAATAATAAAAGGTTGCATGTCAGCCTGGCTAGCTCAGTCGGTAGAGCATGAGACTCTTTGGTCATGGGTTCGAGCCCCACGTTGGGCGCATAATGTTTTCATCACTTTCTACAATTTCAATTCACTCAAAACTTTTCGATCAATGGAGAAAAGCATAGATCGTCCCTGGGTGGGCTTGAACCACCAACCTTTCAGTTAACAGCCGAAAGCGCTAACCGATAGCGCCACAGAGACAACTATGAAGTTATTTAATTTTTGGTCTGCCTGGTTAGCTCAGTCGGTGGAGCATAAGTCTCTGGAGTTGCTCAAACTGAGAGGTAGGTGACAATAATTGAAAGGTTGCATGTCAGCCTGGCTAGCTCAGTCGGTAGAGCATGAGACTCTTGGGTCGTGGTTTCGAGCCCCACTTTGGGCGCATTATATTTTTGTAATATAAAACAGTTAATTCTGCAGGAATTATAATTGATTACCTGAATTGCGATGACCTGCTTTGGGGAATTGAACCAAAGAGTCGATTGGCAGTCGACTCTTAAGACTCGGAATCAAATGAGATCGGTTCAGACCGCAACTTCAAGCTTCGTTAGATTTACTGTCCACCAGTAATTCACATTCGGCAATCAATATTGATCTTTAATCAAATATGACTCGTGTCCCAAAGACACTAATACTCAAGTTAGAGCTAGTAGCAATAGATCGACTATCTCAGGGAGCGATTGAGCATGTATAAACCACAGACAAAGTAATGCGTTTAACAAGTTTATTAACTAATCTAAAACACACAAACTAAGTACTAAAGCTATATAGATAAACACACACACACACATTCACACTGAGAGAAGGAATGATTTGCAACTGTATTCTGAAATCTAATATCAAATAGCATAAACTGATAACCATTAACTATGAGCCTCAGCAAACGTTTGTCTGTAAGGACAAGAAAATGGGATTCAGCTATGAATCGTTTTGCACAAAGTCAGCGAGATATTTAATGCGCTTTCTACCGTGTCCTGGAAGTTCTTTGGGTCGGGTGAAGCTTCCTTCGGTTGCGTTGTCCGTGCAGAGCGATGGCTGATTCGGTATTAGGGTCCAAGCGATGGGTAGTTGTGAGAAAAGAGTCACTGAGAGTTCGCAAGAGTTTGTTCCGAGCAAAAATCAAGTTGGGATTCGCGATGAATCGAAACTGGCACTTCAAAGTTCTGTTGCAGGGTTCACTGTGTTGTAGGCTTGGAGCACGTCAGAGTTCAGGTCGCGGGAGTTGGCTGTCTCGTACCGCTGTAACACTCTAAGGTTCCGCGTAACTCGTATGACTTTCGTGGACCGGACTTCTCTTCTCTTCTCTGGACTTCACTTCTCTGGACCGCACTTCTCTGCCTTTCTCCATTGCGCGGCAGAATTTGAACCAAGGAGGCAGGGCTCTGCCCCGCCAGATTTAACCAATGAGATCACTCTGAAACCGGAGCTGTTGTCACGTTATACATGAGCACAGGGCTGGGACAGCCTGTATCAGAAATCAATCAGTTCATATAAGTGATCATATCTAATCAAGAGAATACCGAGTACATTTCTATGAGAAGCCATCATTTCAGAACTGATATTTCAAGCAGAATGATACCAAACATGGCTAGTTTAACGCTTGTACTCACTCATG